CCTCGGTACATGATATTTCTCCTTAGTTTAACCCAATCTACCGCTATTTGCAAAGTGGCTACTTTTGCATCAGACACCCTGTATACATACGTAAAAAAAAAAGAATTTGAGGCTTTCCAGATATAGCAGGTGCAAATCTTATATAAGACATTAATTAAGGCAAAAAGATGGACATCCAAGAGATTCCTCATTCTTCCACGGTTATCAAAAGTTGAGTGTCGCAAAACTTACGAAGGATGCGTACGAGAAGCTGCCGTGATGATTTTCGTCACAATTTGAAAAGAAAACAAAATAACAGTGTAGCGGCAGCCCGCGATAAACAAAGTGGTACACTTTCTAAAAGTCAATCAGTGAATTATCACTGATTCGCAGTTACAAGTATACTACTGGGAATTGCAGTGGTGCACTTATAACTGTAAATCAGTGACTGTTTTCAGTGATAATCCACCGATTGACTTTTAGAGAGCAGTGATTTGCATTTCGGTACAAAAGAATACAGTAAAATATCGCTGTTTGAAAGAGCGCGATGAAGCTACGAGACGTAAAAACCTCGTGGCTTCTCGAGATCGGGATTCTGTTTTTAACGGAGCGGCGCGCAAGAGGAACGAGGAATATCTTTTGTCGCGTGGAAGAAAAGCCCGGGGCGTGTTCTGGCATCAGTATCGCACAAAAGAGTCGATTCTCCTGTCGCCTTGAAAGTGCAAGAGCCTCGCGTACGAATTCTGTTGCGGCTCGAGCAGGCGCGAGCGCGCCGACGGTTGAGGACGATACGAGGACGACGTCGGCGACGAGGCTACGTCGGCCGTGCGATAAAATTGCTCCTGATAACCCGCGGAGGCGGGGGACTCCGCCTGCCTTAGAGGCTCCACGGCTTGAACTGCGTGGAACTGATCGTCCCGGCGGAGGAGCGGCCGATAGGTCGTCGGTCGATGGTGTTGTTGCGAGAGCGAGCTCGCGAACGAGATAGCGAGAGGGGAGGGCGACGAGGAAGCGAAAGAAGAGATCTCGTATGCACTTGTTAGCGCCCCCAACTGTCCCTGCCCTCCGCGGTGCACGTTCTGCAACACAAGGACAGAGACAGGGTTTTTATCCACGTACAGAGATTTGCAGGGAGGCTGGGCACTCGCGCAGAGCGAGCGATACGGACGGGCGAATTAATATGGTAATTGCGGGGGCAGAGAAACTGTCCTGAAACGTTTGCCAAAGGTACCTCGCAGGCACGAGTCTTCTCTCGAGCTGTGAAACCGTTCGCGCGACCATTCGCCCCGAATTCTCTTCAAATTCATTTCCGAGCACGTCTTCGCAAAAAGATTCGAGTGTATTTCAATGATGAATCGTAGAAGAGAGTCAAATTTAGCAATGTACTCTTGCCAGCAGTGAAATACAAGATTGAAGGACTGTACCGTCCGTCGTTAAAAATCGGAGTAACATGGAATGTCCAAGTTCCTTGAGGAACGAAATTGACTACCGCATTCTCACGCTGTCAGTTTGGTCAAAGTTATTCGTAGTTAAGTGTAGTCAAGGATGAGGACAAGAAGGCAGAAACGGAGGAACGGTTTCTATCGGAAGGTCGATCTCGCAGTCGATTCACGATCACCGCCGGTTCCCTAGTAGCACAGTGCATTGACTAAACGTTGGTTAAACATTGGTCCAATATATTTGATTATATTGGGCCAATATGTAGCCTATAATGTTTGGTCTGTGCTACTAGGGTTGTAAATAGCTGCGCAAAGCGATACAACCCTGCTAGCACAGTGCATTGGTTTTACATTCCCGTACAGCACAAAACTTGCAGTTACATTGCAATAACATTGCTACAATATTGCAACATTGCTGTAATGTAGCTGCAATGTAACTGCAAGGTTTGTGCTGTATGGGTTGGCTCAATATTGATTTTGGTCGATATTTCCCAATATAAAGCCAATACTGGCCATAGAATAAATGTAAATGTCGCATATCAATAATAATTATGTATGGGAAAGTCATATATTATAAGATAAGCTTCTAATATGAGATAGCAGGATTTCTGCTAAATTAATAGGCATCATCTGTTGAGTTTCATCGTGAATTTATTGTCCTCGGAGCGAAATCTGTCTAGTGGAAAATTCATTGTTAGATCGTACAATCGTTGTAAAACCAGATTTGTGATTGAATATGAATGTTGAAAACCTGTTATCTCGTGTTAGAGGACTTTCCTCCAATGTTGGATTTCCATTGAAAGTACATATAATATTGAACCAAAAAGTATCGCTGAATAGACACGTCGGCTAAAGAGGAGGCGCCCACCTTACGATATTGGACCAAGTATTAGATTTACATTATTTCCCAGTGTTGCGCCAATATATTGTGCTACTAGGGGAGCTACATGTTT